AAAAAAAAGGCTGTGTATTAAGAAAAGGCCATTTTACATTAACTATACTTCCTCTCAAAGGAAGCCTCCATTTAAACTGAAGTCTGAATGACAATAAGGAACCAGCTAGTAGAAGATTCCAACATAAGACTCGGTCAGTGCTAAGCTGCTAAAATGGAAATAAATGTGTTAGTTTCCAGGAGAGAGAGACCAGTTAGACTAAAGCAGATGAAGTCTAACATAGTGGCAAGGTCCAAGCCATGTAAAAGTCTGGGGTGATTCTAAGTATCTAGAAATTTGTTAATGTTGAAGTTGGAATGTGACATGATCTGGATCATGTTTCTAACAGATCTCCCTGGCTATGTAGGGTGGATTCAGTTTTGAGGGGGATGGATTCAGTTTTCAGCTCAAGAGGATGATCACAGAGATTGGCTAGGGGACTGTTGCTTGCATTCCAGATGAAGGTGGCTTGACTAGAGTAGAAAATTCAGGATATGTTTGAGGCTGAGGTCTAACTGACTTGCTGAAGGATTTGTCATATATGAGAGGTAAGGAATGGAAAGGAGGGGAATAAAATAGCCAAAATTACAGAGTTCTGATTTGTGCCAGGTGCCTTTCATTATCTCATTTAGTATTCACAACCCTTAGGCTGATAATTGGTATTATCCATTCCTTTACCAACACATATTTATCAAACAACTCTCATGTTCCATTTTTGTGTTGGGAATAGAGCAGTGAGCAACACAGACAAGGACCAAATATTCTTTTGAGAGAACCCCAACAATCTACAAGTAGACGTAAACATAATAATTGCAATGGGGGAAAAACAAGATACTAATGGGCTGGAGAGTTAAATTAGGATGTGAAGTTCCTCTTTTTTATATAGGTAATATCTTAGCCTGACAAAGTGCGGCTTTTGCTGCTGCCTGAAACTTGAATGATGTTAGCTCCATCACCTTCTCTCACAAGTGTAGAAACTCAGATTGAATTATAGTTATTTCTTCTGGAAGGCCATCTGGTGAGATTGGTATGTAGAAATTAGATTATACTAGAAGACAGGCTTTGTAAAACTGTAGAACCAACTAGTGCTTTAAAAAGTCCAGGGGTTCAAAAGCTGTTTCAAAAGAGTCACTTCTTTTTTTTTTTTTAAAGATTTATTTATTTATTCATACAGAACTAGAATTCAGGCCAGAGATGCGGAGGGTGAAGGCTTCACCAGAGACAGAGTGGGGAGCAAAACAGGCAGATCTACGAAGTACACTGCTGAGGGGAGCAGTGGGCGGGTCTGGAGAGGTGTGCCTCGCCATGTGGATCTCTTATGTGGCAGGCGGGAATCGAACTCATGCTGAAGTGGCTTAAGCTTCCCCGCGCTGTGCTTCAACCCACTGTGCCACCAGGGAGAGCCTCAAAATAGTCACTTCTTAATCTGACCTCAGAAAGGAACCCAGATACCTTTTCTATTGAGTAAAGGAAGTTCCTTGCAGATTAGCAATTTTATGTTGGGTTACTGGCCCTGAGTGAGGTTGTTGGTGATTACTCTCAGCAGTGTATCTGCCTGTTCTGTTCCCCACTCTGTCTCTGGTGAATCTTCTCACCTTCCCCCACCACCTCTGTCCTATACCCCAGTTCTTGTATGCATTAATAAACAAATCTTTAAAAAAAAAAAGTAAAAATATTTTTGCTACATTTGCACCAAAATTACAGGTCTTTAAGACTTCTCAATTTTCCTGCTTTGGTAGATAAACAATTATGGATTCACCACCAAGATGACTTAATATTTATCAATTCTTACATAACAACTGATGTCAAAACATGGTGGCTTACAAAACAACAATGCAATCTTTCTCAGGATATCTTGTGTCAATTTAGAATTCTTTCCTCTCTCCTGGACTCATTCATGTGGCTACAGTCAGCTGAAAGTTCCCTGGGAATGGGGCCAGGGACTAGCTAGCTGCTGGGCTTCTGTCTCGCTGCACATGTCCTCCATCCATTGGGTAAAGGCCTGTATCCTCTGTGTTCAGGCCAAAGGTATGAAGAGGAGTGGTGAGAGGACTCACTGGAGACAGAGTGGGGAGCAGAAGAGGTAGATATACCAAAATTCACTGCTGAGGGGAGCAGTGGGCAAGATAGGAGAGGTCTGCTGTGCCATGTGGGTCATTCCCTGGCCAGGGACGAACTCATGCAACAGTGGCTGCAGACAGTAAGGAGACAAAACCCCTTACACCACCAGGGAGGCACCTGACAGGCATTTTTTAATAGTGAGAGAGTATTGAATTAATAAAGTCTTTTCTGATGTGTGGATTTTAAGGTGTGTCCTATATGTTCACATGTTGGTAGACCAGTTAGTCTGTGTCCCCAACCACACCACAGAAAAATAAGCAGAGTACATGACAGCATCTCCCTTTCATGTTCTTGGTGTCTGATTCTCTGCTACTCTACTTTCTGCTAGCATCATTTATGATAAACCAACCCATTTCAGGGAAAATGGGAAATAGTGTAAATAGGAAGTGCTTAGTTCTCCTCAGGGGACCTTGCTCAACCCAGAGACCACAGTCAGCAACTTACAAAATAGTCAGATCAAACCTATTAGAGCTAGATGAACTCGGTGATGATCAAGTATAATTGCTCTCAAACTTGGACCCACTTCAGAGTCATCTGGAATGTTTGTTAAGGCAAAGACTGCTGGGCACTGGCCCTCCCTGGTGGCCCAACGAGTTAAAGCTGCAGCTGCTTTGGTGCAAGTTTGATCCCAGCCCCATGGAGCAGGAGACCTCCCCTGTCTCATCTGCTGCTCCCCTCAGCAGTGTACTTCGTTGATCTGCCTGTTCTGCTCCCCACTCTATCTCTGGTGAAGTCTCACCGCCCCTGAGCCTCTGGCCTGTACCCCAGTTCTGTATGCACAAATAAATAAATCTTAAAGAAAAAAAAAAAAGACGATCTCTGTGGGGCCATTTCAAACAAGTCAGTAGAGACTGGAGAAAGCGCCCCCACCCCCACCCAACAAGGGGGCCACATTCAGCACAGGATCCTCCCCCAGGGAATTCCTGGCCTGTGATTAACTGTTCTGCCTGGTTGAGTTGCCCACTGCCATGTTCCACTTTAATAAGTTGATATTGGCTGATTCATTACTTTCTCTTTTATATACATTAATATCAAAATTCAGAGAAATCTTTTTCTCTTCCACTCTTCACTCCCTCTTTCCTCGCATTAACTACCAAGTCCTCCCTGTCCCACAGATGTAAATATTTTTGAAGTTATCCTTTATTTCTATCTCCATCACCACCCCTTTATCTCAGCCAACATTAGCAGTGAGTGGTGACCAAGCTAAAATCTAGTTAAATTAATTGAACCCATTAAAGTTACTGCTTCTATAGAAAACATAAAAAATTCTTAGCATAATACAATGCAGGATTCATAATAAATATTTGTGGAGGGCCCTCCTTGGTGGCACAAAGGGTTAAAGCACAGCACTATGAAGCTATTGCAGCCACTGCAGCACAAGTTCAATCCCCAGCTGAGGGGTGACCCATATGGCACAGCAGATCGCTCCTGTCTCACCCGCTGCTCCCCTCAGCAGTGTGTTTCAGTCCATCTTCCTGTTCTGCTCCCCCATACTGTCTCTGGTGAATCCTCTCACCCTCCATACCTCTGGCCTGTACCCCAGTTCTGTATGCATACATAAAAAAATCTTTAAAAATAAATAAACATTTGTGGAGACATTTTGAACCTGGGGATAACAGCCATGTTCCTTTGCGTGTTAATTTACTTTGTTTAAATGTCAAACACCTTATTTCCAAACCTCTAGAAGCACCTCTTTGTAGACTCTGGCATTTCTTACAAAGTAATAGCCTCAAGGTCACACAGCTGGTGTGTGAGCACCACCAAGAATATATAGCCCTATTGTTCTTTTAAAAAAAGATTGGTTTATTTATGCATACAAGAACTGGTACAGGACAGAGGTGCAGGTGGTGAGAGGACTCATCAGAGA